GTAGAAGGAAATCTGGTCAAGTTAAAGTTGTGCATTGGGAACGCTAGAGTTTGACCGTGTTCGCGAAGAAGGAATATCAGAACTGGGCAGAAAGTTTATAAGTCATTTCATCCGCGATTTTGAGCCATTTTTCCTCCATAGCTGAGTATTTTGAGAGCTTTTTGAAGGTGATTAAAGTGGGATTCAAGAAGAGTTGATTGGAGGTAAGATTTTTGAACCTAAAACGTGATTCTATTGTGAAATTAACCTAGAAATTCATAGAATTTAAGCTAAAAATGGAAGAACTAGGGCTTGAGATTTTGAACTTTTGAATTGGGATTTGAAAGACCATTTTAGGTCGGAATTGAGAACTTTTGATCTGTATGAACTCGTGGGGTGATAAGGAATCTAATGATGTGAAAATTTCTGAGTTTCGAGAAGTGGGCCCGGGGCTCGGGTTTTGCTAATTTCGGGATTTTTGATATTTTTATTGTTTTTGCTTGGGCTTTGCTCCCTTAGCATATTGTGATGTATTCGTTCTGATTTTGGATAGATTCGACGTGCGTGGAGGCCGATTCGAGGGGCAAAGGTGTAGCGAGCTAGAGTTGTAGCCGGTTCGAGGTGAGTAATGATTGTAAATGATGTCCTGAGGGTTTGAAACCCCGGATTGCACATCGTAGTACTATATTGAAGTGAGACACGCACTTGATGATGAGCGTGGGGTCGTTTACTATTGGAGATTGTGATTTTGTCCGTCCCGACTGATGTTTTTACCGCGTATTTGACTGAAACTTGTTTGTTATCATCATGATTTGGGTTGATTGCCATATTTGGGCTTCGTGCCAATTATTTGAACCCTCCGGGGATTTTTATCACTGTTTCCTCACTATTTTGACTTATTATTTGAACTCAGTCCTGTTGGTATCTACTGTTTTACAAACTCAGCCACTTTTATTCATATTTGAAACTTAAATGATGTTTTGGGCTGAGAACTACTGTTTTGCTAATGCCCGAGGGGCTTGTTATGATTTTCAAACTGAGTAAGGCCGAGGGTCATATGTGAGGATATGCTGAGTGATATGAGGCCGAGGGCTTGAGGTACTTTTATTCGCCACGAGGTGGCTTGATATAGCGCTTGGGCCGTAAGGGGCCCCTCCGGAGTCTGCACCCCCACAGTGAGCGCGAGTACCCATCATGATTTGAGAGTGAGCCCGAGGGGCTGATACTGTACTGAGAGTGAGCCCGAGGGGCTGATATTTTACTGAGAGAGAGCCCGATGGGCTGATACTATTGCTGAGAGCCCGAGGGGCTGTTACTGTTCTGAGTGATTGTTACTGTTCCCGAGGGGCGAATTTTTACTTGTTATTTACCTGCTAAATTACCTGTTTTACTTGGTCTAAAGGAATTTCATTTGACTTCTTCATGGATTTACTACTTTAAGTGATTTTACTGCTTGATATAGAATTGCTTTGTGCCTTTACGTGTTTTCTTGCTTTCAGCCATTATTTATATTTATTACTCACTGGGTCGGAGTACTCACATTACTCCTTACACCGTATGTGCAAATTTAGGCATCGCAGAGTCCGCTCCTGAGTGTTGATCTTCCCAGTCCAGGTAGTGTTTTCGGAGACCACGAGGTAGCTATTGGCGTCCGCAGCCCCCGTGCCTCCCTTATCATATTGTTGTCATGTTCTTGAACTTCTGTATCGGATTTCGTATCTAGTAGACTAGTATCCAGATTTATTAGTTGCTCATGACTTGTGACACCCTGGTTTGGGCTGTGTTGGGATGCTTTCTACTGTTGTTATCGTTATTTTCCGCAAATTATGGTTATTATATCATGTTTTCGAACTATTTATGGTATTTAACTATTTAAATGAGGCGTTCTGTTTTGGTCTGGCTGGTCTTGTCTTCACGAGAAGCTCCATCACGACCCAGTTCGGGGTTAGGGTCGTGACACAAACCTATGTGTTTACTACAATAAGCAAGTATACTTCTGTTCAATTTATGTGTTTACTGCAACAACATGTCTACTTCTGTCTCTTTGAACTTGTGTGTATCTTGCTTTTCAACTTGTTTACTCTTGTACTTCTACTCTCAACAAGTCTGCTTACTTGTTTATATATATAAACTAGACCTATGCTTGTTTAGTTCTCTACTAGCATATTCCTTCTACCTTATGTTCACCTTTCACAGGCTTCTGACCAACATTTCTCCTAAGCCGTACTATCCCTTTGTATGTGAATGTATGCTCACCTAGTGACAGTTAATAAACTAGTTGAAACTCTAAGTTCCCTTGTTTCTGTATACTATTTGACTGTTGGGACCTTTGTTTGAGTTACAATGATTGAATGACTTTGTTTGCTCCTTACTTCTTGAGAATCCAAAACTATTTTCTTAAAAACTATCTCCTGTTTTCAACTCATATTCTTAGAACACCTAGGGTTTTTCCCCTCTAGTGTGAGCATTGCTTAGGAGTCCATGAGACTCCTCTGAACTTTGACACACTAGAGTTGGCTTTCCAAACTTTCTCACAAAGGGTTACTTTGAAAGTTTTCTAGTGTGAGCATTGTCCGGGGTCCCTGAGACCCTTGGGAACTTTTACACACCAGGATATCATTGGGTGCACTATGAAATTATGGTATTTTTGGACTGGTTGAAGGCCTGGCTTGCTAGGTTTATCCTTTGGGCCTATATTCAGGCTCCCTATAGTTGTAGCAATTTTACTTCTGTAATTCATATGGTCTGTAATAATGATTCTTGTAAACAAATATTGTGGAAATTAGTAAACAGGGAGGGATTCTTATATAATTTTTGTGGGGAAATTAGGTAGAAATCATGTCCTGAGGTTTATTATAACTATTTGCTTGCATTAGAGATCATGTTCTTAGGACTATTACTTGTATTAGATACCATGCCTATAGGTTATTGCAATGTCTGTTATTTAGATACCATGCTTATTGGTTATCGCAATGTTTGTTCATGTAGATGCCATGCCTATAGGGTCTAAAAAACCAATCCTGCATCCTAGATACCATACCTGTAATTTTACTGCAATGTTTGCTTATGTACATTAAGATACCATGTCTATGAATCAGTCCTGCATTCTAGATACCATGCCTATAGGGTTTTAAATCAATCTTGCATGCCTGTAAGTTTAAAATCGGTCTTTACATGTCGACAAAGATTAAATCAGTTTTCTGTATGTCAATAAGGTTCTTAAACTAATTAATTCATTTAGATGCTATGCCTATAGGATTTTTAAAACCAATTTCTGCATTTAGCTACTAGTGTCTACAAGTCTAAAATCAGTTATTACACCTAGACAACATACCTATAGCATCCAAATTGCGTGCTTAAAATTGTTACCTGTTTTCTGCACTCCTGATTAATGACTAGGTACCATGTTCATAGAACATCATGTTACATGCCTAGGTAAGCCTGTAGGGCGACTAAATCCTGCAAAACTGTAAAATTATACTTTTATTATTTGTGAATGGTCCAAATTCAGCAAGCCCTAAAATCGGTAGGCAAACTAATTAGGTCTTTATCGCCTCACTTTAACACAATGCTGCATATTATGTTTGTCATGCTCACCTAGATATTCTGCTCTAGGATCCTTTGAGATATTTGAAATCCTGCTATTTGAGACGTGCTATTATCTGCTTATGTGAGGAGGTAAAAGTGAGCCTTTAATTGCCTTTATGTGAATGTCCTATTTGTTCTTGATTGTCGCCTAGATTTTTCTCCTTTAAGTACCTTAGGAAAGTCTAGAACTGCCTAAATTAGAGGTCCTAAACACCTCCAGGGCCATAAGGAAGGGACGGGTAATGCACACATAGAGTTTGTTTAATTAAAATCGCTTATATAACCACTAAGGGGAGGGTAATTGGGTAGTAAAAGGATATGATGACCTGTGCGCTAATGCTATGTGTAGCACCCCAACTTGGGGACGATTACCAAGCATTGTACAAAAGTGATCTTGTAGGCTAAAAAACCTAGGACCCTTTTTTCCTTTTGTAACTGTCTTTCAATTATTTAAATACCGCATTTATCATTTTATTTACGTGCAAATACGTGACAACATGATATTATTGCTGCATAAATCATGACCAACATCATATTCCACTCGTGCATAATCAATCCTATAGCAACGCTTGATGAGTGTTTGCGCTCTTCCTATATATCACCCTTTAAATTCGGAAAGGCGTATTTGCGGTAAAACTAGTCGATCAGCGATGCAGTCGATGGTTCCGTGCCTTTCCCCCTCAAGTTGGCCGCTTGAGGGTCTTAGTCTAGACCTCTATAGCAACCTTACTCTAATTAATTGTGTATGCATCATGGTCAAACCTAGCCGGGTTATTATGTTGTCCGCATAATAACCCTTTAAGACAAGCCTCACCCAAAAGTCCATCGGATTTTTCATAATCCCAACTGATGCAGCCACGATTGTGTGCATTAATTTGGAGAAATAAGTGCCAATATGTTAATCATTATTGTATAAGTAGATGAACCTGGAGGGAGAAAGGGTATAACTATATTTGTTTTGTAGAAAATGAGGCACGAAGTCCCCAAGTTCGGCATGGTCGGTAGCATACTATCACTCTTGCTAGATTGGTGGAGGAATCTTTCGTCAAGTGACACTACTAAAAAATCGTTCTATTGGAACAGTTATTTTGCAACGGTTAGCCAACTGTTACAATAGATTATGTGCTGGAATGGTTTTAATTGTTCCAGTAGAGTAAAAAGGCTTTTGGCACACTTCTGAAGCAAAACCGTTCTAATAGGATTCTAACCGTCGCCATAACTGAAGCTATGGAGATGGTTTATCAAAGGCGATACAATAGGGTTATTTATGGGAATGGTTTGCTAAAATAAAATATTTATTTGGACGGTTTATTTTTCCCTCCATACTTTCCCTCCTATATTTTTATTAAAAAAATAAAAAATGATGACCCCACCAAAATTTTAATACCAAATCTCTTTAGGTTATTTGGTAAGTTAGAAAACGCACTAGTACTGAAGCCTTTGGTCTCCCTCTTGTCTTTGCTTCTATCATACCTCTCTCTCATCTTGTTAAACCTAGAAAATATTACCATCTACGAACTTAGCGGAAGGAAGATCCATTCCGATAAGGGACAACCATTTCGGCTAATATAAGGGAATCTCATATGTAGGTTATCGATATATTTCCCGTGTTCGATGTTGTTCGCTGTTCGCTATTGTTTCGCTGGAAAATTGGTTCGTTGCTTCTTCTGTTTTCTTTCATTGGTAAGATTTTTGTTAAACCCATTAATTTACTCTGTCCTTGATTTGTATTATATGATTAATTTTTTGATTTCTAGTTTATAAAATTGGGGTTTCTGGATAGATGAAAGGGATGTTGAGAATAGATCAATTTCATGTTTAAATCTTTTTCTAGTATGGACTTTTTTTTGGTATTTTTTTTTTGTTCGATATTTTCTATGGTTGTTCGCTATTGTTTTACCGAAAAATTATTTCGCTGCTTCTGTTTTCTTTATCTGATAAGATTTATGATAGACCCATTAATTTACTCTGTCCTTGATTTGTATTATATGATTAATTTTTTGATTTCTAGTTTATAAAATTGGGGTTTCTGGATAGATGAAAGGGATGTTGAGAATAGATCAATTTCATGTTTAAATCTTTTTCTAGTATGGACTTTTTTTTGGTATTTTTTTTTTGTTCGATATTTTCTATGGTTGTTCGCTATTGTTTTACCGAAAAATTATTTCGCTGCTTCTGTTTTCTTTATCTGATAAGATTTATGATAGACCCATTAATTTACTCTATCCTTTGTTTGTATTATATGATAATATTTTGATTTCTGGTTTGTAAAATTGGGGGTTTGGTTGGTGGATTTGGATAGGGCTGTTGAGAATAGACCAGTTTCGTGTTTAAATCCTTTTTTAGTATGGACTTTTTATCAACAATGAGTCTTATTCTATATTTTCTTTCTTGACAATAATGGTTTGTACTGTTTGAAGGAAGAAACTTATTCGGTAATGAATAATTACAATACAAGTATAATAAAATATAATCTATGTTGGTTCATATGCTCCTACACTTAATTTCAACTGCCTAGACTTTTTGTTTTATGAAATAAGTTGTATTTCATTAACAAGAAGCATCCAGGGGATGCATAGGTTACAAAAAAAGGAAAATATCAACTGCCTAGACTAGAAATCCATTTACTAGGACTTCCACTTGTTTCCAATTTAAGGTAATAAGCTCTCTTTCTAGTTTAATTTTCTACTCAATACACCTTTTCACTTTTCCAATAGTAGGATCTAGAACTAGGAAGCTACCAAAAATATGGCAAAGTCTTTGTTATATTAACAAATTTCCAGCAGAGTTAACTTTTTTCAAAATATGGTAGAATCCCTACAATTAAGAAAACTGACTAATTATTAAATTAATTCAAACCTAAAAGAACTCCATTTTATATGATATTAATTAATCACTTATTAAGAGATATTATGTTATTTTTGGACAAATTACTTAGTGGATCTCTTCTTTAGAGTTTTCTGCTGGTGTTTTTTTATAGTCATTTTGATCACCTTCATAGTTTTTTACCTTTTTCATCTTCTTGCTTATGCTTTTTCCAACACATATCAATCATCATCTTCACAACGTTATTATTATATAGTATATACTGTATGATATATAGTAATTGTGGGAAAAGAGAAATTTGGTGATAATACATACAATAACTGAATTTGACAGAATGGTTCCTTCTCTATTACAATTAACTATAATAAAGTTATCTGGTATTGTGATTCTAATGAAATCATGTGCCTTATGCTTGTGGCTTGTTATGTAGTATTTCATAATAAATACACATGATTGAAAATCTCACATCTGAATTTAATAGCCACCATTTCTTAAAATATTTGCTATCGATGTTCGATGTCTTATTCGTTATTGTGGAAAATCATTTTTTTGATGCTCCTTTTCTTTTCTCTGGTAATATTGCTAATAAGCCTACTATTTTACTTTCTGTTGTTAGTATTATATGATACATTTTGTAACTTTTGGTTTGCGAAATTGGGGTTTAGTTGTTGGATTTTAATTTCGTATTAGAAATCATGATATTTGCCTTACGTAACTATTTATGTGATGGTTTTGGTGACTGTTAAGTTTTGCAACAGTGAAATCTATATAATTTTGACAATAAGTGACTTTTTTCTATCTTTCTTATTATTTGATTTTTTATTAGGAGTATATAAACAAATTTTATACTAGTTGTTTTGGTGTTATATAGGATAAAATTAATTTAATGGATAACGGAGATAAAAGGTGGATGGGCCTTCGAAGGTCAACTGATGAGTACATACAAGGAGTGAATAAATTTCTTGATAAAGCATTTGAACGAGCTTCCCAAGGAAATCAAATATTATGCCCTTGTAAAGTGTGCGCTAATTGTTTTTGGCATCATAGGATTGTGGTGGAAGACCACTTGATTGTTAATGGTTTTGTTCATGGATACAATAAATGGGTTTTCCACGGGGAAGGATTTTCCTCGAGAAAGACTCCATGCCCAAGAAGTAATGATGAAGGTTTTGACATGTATGACGATATTGATGGATTACTTCATGATACATTTCGAAATGTCGAGGATGATTTGGGACATGAAGGAGTGAGGGATGGACCATCAGAAGATGCAAAAAGATTCTTTAAATTAGTAGAAAAAGGGAAAGATGAATTATATCCAGGGTGTGAAAATTTCTCCAAATTAGGTTTTACGATTCGGTTGTACTTGTTTAAATGCATTCATGGTATAAGTAATGTGGCATTCACAGACTTGTTGGAGTTGTTAAAAGAGGCATTTTCATTTGCTCAGCTACCCGAGTCTTTCTATAAGTCAACAAGCATGATAAAAGATTTGGGTCTTCATTATGAAAAAATACATGCGTGTCCTAATGATTGCATGTTATTTTGGAATGAATATGTAAATGCAGATACTTGTTCTGTGTGTGGATCTTCTAGATGGAAGAATGTTGTTAATGTATTGACTAATAAAAAGACTAAAACCCCTGCAAAAGTCTTAAGGTACTTTCCATTAAAGCCTCGGCTTCAAAGGATATTCATGTGTCCCGAAACGGCTGAAGCTATGAGATGGCATGCCACTGAACGACCGAATGATAGAAATATAAGACATCCTGCTGATGGTGATGCTTGGAAGTAATTCGACTCCTTGCACCCTAAATTTTCTAGCGACCCTTGCAATGTTAGATTGGATCTTTCAAGTGATGGCTTCAACCCGTTTCGAACAATGAGCATTTCCCATAGCAGATGGCCTGTTATGTTAATGAACTATAATCTATCGCCTTGGATTTGCATGAAGCCAGAGTATATAATATTGTCAATGATCATCCCAGGTCCGTCAGCTCCGGGAAATGATATAGATGTGTATCTACAACCCCTAATTGCTGAATTGAAGGAACTATGGGAATTCGGTGTAGAAACATTTGATGCCGAATCCAACCAGATGTTTCAAATGCGTGCAACATTAATGTGGACAATTAGTGATTTTCCTGCACTAGCAATGCTTTCTGGATGGAGCACAAAGGGAAAATTTGCATGCCCCACTTGTAATTATGGCACATGTTCTCAATATCTCAAGCATAGTCGTAAGATGTGCTACATGGGTCATCGGGCATTTTTGCCTCCTGAACATCCATTTCGAAGAGATAAGAAATCATTTGATGGTAAGGAGGATCATAGACATGCACCTACTCCTTTGTCGGGTATAGAAGTCCTCGAAGAGTTGCGTGAATTCAAGAATGTCTTTGGAAAGGGCCAAAAGAAAAGGTATCGGGATAACAAGTGTCCATGGAAGAAAAGATCCATCTTCTTTGAACTACCATACTGGGAAACTAACAAATTGAGGCACAATCTTGATCCGATGCACATTGAGAAAAATATATGTGATAGTATTCTTGGGACATTATTGGAGATCGATAGAAAGTCAAAAGATCATGTAAATTCCCGTTACGATTTGCAAGAAATGGGAATACGAAAAGAGCTTCAACCAATACAAGATATTGTAAGTGGAACAATTTCTTTGGCTAAAGCTTGTTCCTACATGAATCTAGAAGAGAAAAGGCGATTTTGCACCGTCTTTAAAAATGCCAAATTGCCAAAAGGTTGTGCCTCGAATATATCACATTGTGTGCATGAGAAAGATATGAAAATATCAGGGTACAAGAGTCATGATGCTCATTTTATAATGCATTACTTGCTCCAAGTTGCTGTTAGAAAAACATTACCCAAGAATGTTTCTTTGGCATTGATTAGGTTGGGAAACTTCTTTAGAGCCATATGTGCTAAGGTTGTAAGACGAGAGGATCTTGATAGATTGCAGACTGAAATCAATGATATTACATGTGAGCTTGAAATGATCTTCACTCCAGCCTATTTTGATATAATGCCTCATTTGCCTGTTCATTTAGTAAATGAAATTAAGCTTGGGGGTCCAACTCATTGTCGTTGGATGTATTCCACTGAAAGAACCTTGTGCAAGTATAAGGCATTTGTTCGTAATCGAGCTCATCTAGAAGAATCAATTGCAGAAGCGTTTTTGGCCGAAGAGTGCTTGACCTTTTGTTCGAGATACCTACATGATGGGGTGAAGACAAGATTCAGTAGGTACCAAACTGAGGATGATGGGGACATTAAAGGAGCAAAATTGTCACCTATATTTCCTAAAATTGGCCATCCAATTGGAAGTAAGAAAAAGAGAAAAGGAAAGATTTTCCCCATGGATTTACAGTTATGTTCTGAGGCTCATAGGTATGCTCTCTTCAATACTGAAGATGAACAAGTGGAGGCGTTTATCATGTAAGATAAAATATATTATCATCACTTGTATTATAAGCTTTATTGTTTTTATTTTTAAATTTAATTGATATGGTCTAATGATTAAATTTGAAACATATGGCTTGCAGTGAACATAAAAATTTAATTGATAATCGTACTAGACCAAATGCATGGGTAAGAGCAAGAAATCATAGTCGAAATGTTGCCGACTGGTTTAAAGAGAATGTAAAAAGCATTGACGTGCCCAATCATTTGCGATGGCTAGCTAAAGGACCTAATACATTGGCCAAACGATATACTGGATATTTTATCAACGACTACTTATTTCATACAATGATGTGGGATGCCCCGTTGAAGACTCAAAATAGTGGAGTGATTTTGTCAGCAACAACTGATAGTTTTGCTAGTGCTAGGGACCCAAATCCCATTGATGGAGAGGTTCTCTACTATGGAGCTATTCAGGATATCATTGAGATTGATTATTGGGGCCGCTTTAGTGTTGTACTATTTAGATGTGATTGGTTTCGTAATGAAGTTGATGAATATGGGTTAACTCAGGTATACTTTAACCGATTATGTAGTACTGATGACTCTTTTGTGTTGGCATCTCAAGTACATCAAGTTTTTTATGTGGAGGATCCAATTGAGAAAGATGTTTATTATGTAAGAAATAAAGTCCCTGTTGATATGTATGATTTGGAGGAAGAGAATATTCCTAATGTTGGGGAGACATTTTGGAGTGAGCCTAATGATGAAGCAGGTCCATCAACTAGATTAGCCGATATTGATTTTAGATGGTCGAGAGAAGATGTACCTCTTGATGTTATTGATATGCCAACTGATGCACAAAATTCACAAGATACAGTTGTGGAAACATCAGAAGAGGAGGATGATTTAGATGATACGGATTGGGATTGGATAGAGGCTGATGATTGAGGAAGAAGCAAGCTGAATTGAACTTGAACAGATAAGACTTAAGATAAGAAATGAGACTTAAGGCAAGATAATAGTTATGTTGCTTCTTTTGTTCATCTTTCACTTTGTTGTTGCTACATATATTCTGCCTATTGCTGTTGTTATTTTTTCTTCTATCATATGCAGTGCATTGCCATAGTTTACTCTGAAACTATCATATGCATATCCTTAACTTATCATACGAAGCTGCACTTTATTTGGAATTCTACTATTGTCATTTATATAAAACCTAATAAAGCTATTTTTATTTGTATTCTTCATTAGATTTGATAGATATGAGTCAAGAAAGACCTTTAAAGCCCAAAAGAAAGACAAGCGCAACATACACAAAACCTGGAACAATGGCATCTTTGGCAAACCAAATAAGGACTTCGTTTAGCCAAAAATATGTTGTTCCCGCTAGACAATCAAACAAAGAGCGGCCTAATATTATTGTAGAGAATCTGCCAAGAGCAGTAGCCCATGCACAAACTAGATCAACCACTTCTGCAAAATATGTTGCTCCTGCTAGACAATCAAACAAAGAGCGTCTGAATATCATCGAAGAGAATCTGATAGTGCCACAATATTCAGAAGTAACAACCCATGTACAAACAAGATCAACCACTCCTACAACACAAGTAATAGAGGAACAAGTTCAGTTGGATTCTACAACTCCTATTGAAGATGAACAATGTGAAGAACAAGGTAAGAACCTATAGTCTTTATATAAAAATATTTATATCCTATTTTAGTCATAAAAAATGTACCAACAATAGTGATTTGGTAGTTTTGTTTGGTTTGAATAGTTGAAGGCCCTTCTAATCAAACAAGAAAAAGAGGAAAAACAAAGATGAAAAGTGTACATGGACGACATGAGCGTAAATTAATTTTACTTAACAACTTAAATCAACCCGTCGGTCCTAGTGACGCAGTTGTGACAGAGTTTGGAAGCTTCCTCGGCACATTGGCAAGGAATGCGACTCTATGTCCTCTTGATATTTTGGATTGGAGGAAGATGTACACAAAAGAGGATGTATGAGAATATACCAAGGTCTGAACTTCTTAAGTTTTAATTTTTGATTGAAAATCTTTCATATTTTCTGCACTAACAGATTTGACACCAATTGTAGGATAAATATGATATTCCTGAAGCTGCAAAAAAATATACTTTGGAATCAGTTCAAGCTGCCTGGAGAAAGCATAAGAGTAGATTGAAAAAAGATCACTTTGACCCCTATAGAAGTGATGAAACTCGAATGGAACATATCCCTAAAGATGTTCCAGTTTCTCAGTTTAAGGAACTCCTTAGGTATTGGAACTCTGAGAAACTCTAGGTATGTGACTTTTTATTTGTTCTTCTTCATCTTCTTGAACTACTTCTTAAAGTTCTTCTTTATCTTCTTTCTAGTTTTCTCCTTCTTCTTGGCCATTGTTTTTGTCTTTCCTTATTTCTCTACTTCAGGAATGCTACTGTAAATGTTTTCAATTGCTAGATGGTACATTATAGTAGTACATCCTATTCATTCCTTCCTTTTAAATTACATATACACATTCTCAAAATATCTGATGGAGCAGCTCTTTTCCCTAGTACCTGGCCATAGGCTTCTGGGTTTGAGGCTTTTGGAGCAGTTCATAATGAAATTAATGAGATTGATATTTTTCATGTTTATTGTGGTAGAAAAATAGGAAGCAATCATGCCTTTACATCCATACTTTTTCTGTGGAAGTTTCCATACCAAATAGGACACGATTAACTTCAAAGCTCCTCTTCTCTGTCGCAATATATATGATACTTATGTTAGGCCTATGTGAAATGTTGCACTAGATTTGGCCTTCAGGTCCTACAAGCAGTTGTAAACAAATAAATTCAAATGATAAGCAAATATTAGAAAAGAAAAAAAAAAGCTAGGTGGTTTCTGTTTTTTCAACCTTGAAAGAAAAATATACTTATGATGCAGTCCTGAAGTCAAAGCATGTGACTTGAAAAATCAAAATAATATGCTTTTGATATTTATTCTCAGGTACCTTTGTTGGTGACATCTGCATAAGAAACTAAAATAATTGTAAAGTTGAGGCTTATGTGGACAATTATGAATATGTTAGAGTTGATTAATCAATATGATAACTACGACAACAACTAGCTTTTTCATGCAATATAAGAATAGTACTCATGTCAACAACCACAATTTAATTTCCTTTAATGGATTTTGAACATAAATATTTGTTAAGGAGTACTGTGTTATTTGATGTATGAATGTATAATGAACAGAAATCTTTACCATGATTTGCTTCAGCTCATTTAACAGTAAGATCTATTGCTGATTTTTTATAGTCCACCATAGTGCATTTCACTTTGTACTTCTCAAGTCTTACTTGTAAGTTGTTGTTGATGTTTCTTTCTGTTTGCAGAGAATGTCTAAAACTAACATTGAGAATCGGAAAAAGTTGAAGAATCCTCACACTGCTGGAAAAAGAAGTTTTGCTTTAGTTCGCTCTAAGTTGGTGTGTAACTAGCCAATCGTGGCAAAAATATTTCAATTTTAGCTTTTGTTTAGTTCATGGCAGATCATTAGGAATGCTAACTCATTCATGTAACTAGGAAAAAGACAAGGAAACTTCGGATCCTTTATCAGCAAAGGAAGTCTTTGTTGCTACAAGAAAAAGAAAAGTTGGGCGATCATACAAGTCCTCGGATAAAGATACAACTAGTAAAATTGTGCGATTATATTTAATTAATGTTATATTGAGATCAATTATTTGTTTCTATTTGTTTACTTTTTATTTACTTGAATTATATTTTTTTGAATTTTCTTTGTAGGCTGAAATGGAGGAAGTTGAAGCACAACAAAACGAAAATGGCAATGAGTCCGTAGAGGCATTTGCATCTGTCATGGGACCTGAACATTCGGGACGTCTGAGATTGTATGGACGAGGGGTTACAAGAACTTCTTTAAGAGGGAAAGTAAGATATTTTGAACCATCTTCAAATACTTCAAATTCTATACAAAAATTGGAGGAGAAGATACAAAGAATGGAGGAAAAAATTGAGTAACAAAAGGCAACTATCCGTCAAGAAGTTGTTGTAGATGTCCTTGCACGTCTTCAGCGTTCAGGAATTGATATTGATGCTAACATTATTCTTGCGGC